AGACACAAAAAAGAAAGAAAAAAACATCAATAAACACAAATCAATAAAGAACTGAACAGAATATTCAGTGACTAGGAAAAAGAAATCAATAAAAATCTGCTGGTGCGCACGTTTTAACGTTTGGATTTTTAGATAACCCTTGATTTGCAAGGGTAAACTGTTTCATTTTATAGGCAATACTGCGCTATATATGCGCTACTTCCTGAAACACGGCAGCGAACCTGTTAAAATACAGAATTTGGACAATTATCGCTTTAAAAGTATAGTTTTTATTGATAATTAAGCAAGTAGAATCTACTCGTGTGGGATGAATGGAATATTCTTGTATCCGAGTGGTCTTGTTTGTTTTCATGTGGTGGACGTGTCAGTAGGCCTACGGTTCCATGTCATGTTTAGCAAGAGTTTCCAGGAGGTCCGATGGCGCCAGAATTTTCCTTTAGCGGGTTCAATTTTCCCGACGGACCCAATTGCTTCATGAGAGCATAGTATAGGGGTTGTGGCCAGAACCACTGACAGGGGTTTTAGGAGCCTCCGACGTCTGGGTGCCATCGACTTAAAATTCTTCACAAAAAAAAAAGAATGAAAAAGAAAAATCGAAAAACACCTCCAAGGCCATGCTTTGCGATTTAAGTTCGTCTCGGGGGCCTTTCAAGCGATCGGCGGCGGGTTCGTGGATTAACTGTACCAAAACATCTAAAGTAAAATAAAAACAGATTATTGATTGCACCTGTTGTTACGATTTTATGTATCCTGTTTTTGTGAATGCAATTTGTCATCTTTTCCAATAAGTTGATGTAAAATGCTTCCAATTGATAACTAATTGTTCAGGCAGTTTTCCGCGAAACGCGACTTTAATTTGTTTGATGAATTGAATTTGAAGTGATGAATTTCGTAATGTTTTCTCTTAATAAACTACAGCAATATAGTAGCACATAAGTTTACGAGTTGTTTGTGCCTGCCGATCGAGTTTCAGATGTAGGCCTAAGCCGGCCTATCTTCTCAATTTAGTAAAATGCATTCAGATGATCAGTAGTAAAATGCAATTTCCGTAGTACCTAATAATTTCAAGTCTTTTACTGCAGAGTATAGGTTGCTCACATTTCTGGTACAGCGTGATTAAGCTTTGGAATTTCAAGGAAACCGGACAAGAGAAAATGTATACAGTAGGTCACTTTTTCTTGGTTTTCACAAATAATTTATTCTGACATGGTCCTTGTTTAGGGAAAATTTAACCAAAGATCCTGATGGAAAATTAGTTGTTTGGACGTTAAACACATACAGACGTCCCCGAGGCGCCCCGTAGAACTTCTGCTATCAAACACTCCAAAACTTATAATCGGAAGTTGAAATAATATACTATATTTAATGAATAAAGATGAGCACCGTCGCCGTCTGACCATGAGCTTGTTGAACCCAGAGCGGAGCAAAAAGTAGGCAAATTAAAACCAGTGATACGGAATACCACGCGTTTCGATTGTACAGTATTGCCAATTAAATATCTTGTCAGGGTAGCTTTTCCTAATTTTATTGGATGATCTATCCGAAATATAATTTAAGGTACCGTACCGTACTCGCGCGAATAAGCGCCCCGTTTTGAATAAGCGCTTCTCTCGAATAACCGCCCCTCCTAACGTGAAAATTTCCATAAGCGCCCCGTTTGAATAAGCGCCCCTTCTAATAACAAGCGCCCCCTCATAAGATTTTCTTTTTAGCAAGTCAATAATCCAATCAATCCTGGGACTATGGTTGTTGGCATGATTTGAGCTGTAGAGTGGAAACACATTCTTCTTTGGTCAATATCAAATGAGGATATTTTTCTTGGACAGATAAGAGCTCCGATCCCTGGACAGACAGTATATTCCAACTTTACTCTTTTTACATATTTGTATATGCCTAGTCCTACTCCTCTTTTTTCCCCGACCTTGCACATTCTCTTCTGAGTTTTCAAGAAAAAAATACAATGATCCTGCCATCCTGCTAATCTCAATCGGCCGATGGCCAACAAGCTAACCACTAGCATCTGCTATTTTGCTATGTTAAATTCACGCATTCTTGTCATGAGCCATGTTCTCTGTACGATTATCTTTTCTGACCACCATTCGTAATGTCCACGCCTTTGGAATAAACTGCCAATAAATATTCGCTCGTGTCAGCCTACTGCTTTGTTCAAAAAAGCTCTCAAGACGCAGCTGTCGGCTGCTTTTTCCTAGTTCTTCGGAATTTATTTTCGGTGGCCACGCCCACTGAAAAATATTGCTTCTTAGATTCCCGAATAGACGTTAACCGTGACAGATATGTTAAAGTATATCGCTTGAACGCAGTATTTAAGAAGAAAAAGGAAAAAAAGGGAAGTTGGATAAAGGCTTTTAGAGATGTGCGAGTCTACAGGTGGGCTAATTGCAGCACGACTGCAGCCCACAAAATTAAAACCCTATTAAAACTGCACATAAAATCGAGTAATTTTGCATCAGTTTGGCATCCACTCATCCTCCTCTGTTCCAATTCCCATCATGGTTGGTGCTAAGTAATTAATTTTCTTTTGTTTCCCCATTTAATTTTTTTGAATGGAACAAAAATCAACATCACTACTAGGCCCTATGATAGGGGACTATAATACCACCAGTACATATACTCCACAAACGCTTTTTTCATGCCAATTTCTCAAGGATAGCTTAAAGAAGTGTAAAAAGTCTGCAGACACAATGCTAAGCTAGGACCTATTGCACTTCAGTTAGGGTGATCGAATCGACTGTCTGTGCTGTGCCCAACTCATACGGTATGCCGTGAAATAATTACCATACAGTATATCTATCCAACATTCTACCGTGCGAATAAATTTGTTTCGACAATTCGCACGGTACCGTGGGAATTAGCTCTTATCAGTCTTATTCGCACAGTAGACCTAGCCAATCAGCATTTAAGGTTTCATGACGTAACGGCTGTCATACCGTACGAATAAGTTCTTATTCCTAATTCGCACGGTACCGTGCGAATAACCTCTTCCAATAAATTGGGCCTAAATAATATCCGAGTTATAGGCAACTTTATGGCCCTAAAAAGAGTGAAACTCTTAGTCTGATAGACTTAGCTCAGTTGGCTAATCTGGTGGTAGCCGCTGTGTGTGTCCGCTGAACCGTGGAGATCTTTAGTTCCCCGGTTCAATTCCTATCGCTGCCTCTCCTTGTGTTTCAGCTTGAGGGCAGAAATACAAGTTACGATAGCGCACCGTCTTTCAGATGAGACGTTTAAGCCGTTGGTCCCGTGTGCAATATAGCCCATGGGCATGTTAAAGAACGCAGTACACTCTTCGGTAAAGAGTAGGGGATTGTCTCCTGGTGTACTGCCCAATTCACCACCAGAAGTATCCTGAAACAAGTCTTTAGACTTCTGGGTTATCCTTGGTGTGATTCACTCACTCACTTCACAAATTTGGCCATGATGTATGAAACACATTTTATATAAATTATGTTTTCAGTCAATTTCAATACAGTAATTGAATGAATAATATATCCTCCCTGCTGATAATTATATAATAAATATGACCTAAAGTAATGAAAAAGATTGGGAAATGCAAAAATCCAATGTTTTTTGTATGTTATTTGGCAAGGGAAGCCTACTGTACTAGACCAGGCATGAAATGCCAGAAACGAGCGTAATTTAATGAACTTACAATTCTCAATGGTAACTGGTATCATAAGCCAGTTTATTTTAAAAGTAAGTATAGGCCCTACTGTAGTCTACAGTATATTTTAATAATCAGAAGACAAACAAAACACACTATAATTTCCTATTTTATGGATGTTAACATCGTGGCTGAACTGGTTCGCGGCCGAAAATGATGGCATTTGGCTGAAGCCCCCTGCTGGTTTCAAGGACCTTTGAAAGTTTTTGGCAATTTCAAATTTTATTCTATTTTTATTTGTACTACTTTACAATTAATACAGTAGAATACCACTAAATTCTTAATTATTGCAATCATAAGATTGACTTAACATTTTGCCAAAAGAAGAAGACACTTTATTTTTACTATACTGTATATCTTGCTTATTGACAATCATTTCTTGCTTGTGTAAAATCATCACAAAACAGGGTTCATCCCACATTAACTCACCACTTAATTTCAGTCATCGCAAAATTTAGAGTTTGTCGGGAACTGACAGCTTTTATCCATTGGTTGGCAACAGATTTAATTTTAGATCTGAGTGGGGGTCACCCCTACTTTATAATGGCCTAGTGTAGCATTTTGGTCTTCTTCATTATTCCTTGAATTATGATTATTCTTTGTTTAAAATATTTTTTTATAATTTTATTTTTGCACTTGGCCCTCAAGAACCAAGGCTATTATAGTACTGTACAGTACAGTATGACCTGCCAAATAATTATAATAACTGTTATTGTAGGGCTCCTGGCCTACAGCAGGCTAGCTACAGTACTGTAGTTAGTTATAATGTAGGGAAAATAATATACATGTAGCTATCATAGTATCTGATCAGTTTTTGCCAAAATGTCAAATTTCCCAGTCCACTTTGCTGAAACCCAGTTTGCCCAATGTCATTTTACCGACTCAAAATAAGGAACTCATTTTGTCGAAACCCAATTGGCCAAATTTCTACCCATTATACAAAAAAATCATTTTGTTGAATGCCCTATTCAATTTCATGGGTAGAATAAAGAGTACAAAAAGGTGCAGCCTACTGGTCTTTGGTCAATGACCTAC